ACAGTGCGAGCGGGCTTACCTTGGAAAAACATCAGTATCAATTTGGCAGCTGTTGCTTCTGCTAATCCACCTTTAATCTTCTCTTTAAGATCCTCACATTTCCAGAATAGTTTCCTGCCTTTCGTATCTTCGCTTCCACGGAAAATCCTACTCACGAAGTCGAGTTCCTTCATCAAAGATTCCCTATCCCAGTTTGGTGCACAGTGCTGAAACACATCTTTAACCCAGCCCAGAAGCTCAGAAGTATGGTTACACGCTCGGCATTTGAACAGCATTTCTCCCATCCCGGATACACTCTTGGCAGAAATTCCCATAGAAATCTCTCCATCCCTAATCGCACAATCCGTATGAGTCCAGTGAGAACACACGTCACAGCCAATCCAGCGGCATGTGTTGACGGAAAAGTCAAACTTGTTACAGATCACACACATGCACAGGTTGCAGAAGCCTTTCCTGTTAGCGCATATCTCACAAGGACACTCATCAGCCGGGAGTTCGTTTTGGCACGCTATGTTTCTGCATCTCTTGTACATGAAGATCTCGATGAGAGATGATTGAGAGAGATTGATGTTCGGGTGCAAAAATGCTTGGATTCCAGTGTTTATAACCACAAGGATTTCAAGCTGCACTCGATGGGCCCTGATAAGTGTCTTTGAAGTTAAATCAGATCTCGTCTGTACAAACTTCTGCAGAAACATAAACTCATCTATCGGCTGCGCACCATTTCCCTCAAGGATAGCCTTAAGCCCGTTCTTTAACTCATCGAGATAATCTTCTGGTAATCGGTGCATTCTCTCAGAGACTATGTCCACCCTCTCTCTAGCAATGTCCCGTAGTGATACTTTATCAGCAACCGAAACATGGCGGATCACAGGCTGCTCATGAGAATCAGGTCCTGTCTTTCCGCTCTCTGTCTTCTTCCCCATAATAGATTTCGAGGTTGGCCACGTTTCTTGAGAGCTCGCGCTTTCAGCTGGAGATTCACGCACAATGCCAGAATTAGACCGTGACAAGTGGGGATCCGAAGATACAAGTGAAAGAGAAGTTTGTAGCTGCTGACGTGGAGGAAGCATTTGGTGAGGAAGATTGGACCCAGATGATGTGCCCATTAATTTATTGCTGCAGACAAGAAGATATCGTCAATGTCAGATTCATCTCAAGCTACTGAGTGAACAAAGCAAAAAAACGTAAAGGAAAAACCTTGTAAACACACAACACTGCAAGAAGAAGAAAAAAGACAGTTACATCAGACAATCTAGTAGATGCAATTTAAGAACTTGAAACGATCAAACATGGCATGTCTTGCTAAATGTAGTCAGAAAGATCTTCACTTTCGCAATTACAGTGAACATAAAAACATGTTTTTTTTAGAAAGTACGAGCGATAACTAGCAAGAAGATCTGAGAATCATCAGATTTGAGTGTTTCATGAGTTCTAATTCAGGAAAGAAAAAACCCCAATCCTCTAGCACAATCCCTAGAAATCCACCGACAGACAAAATCAACTCCTAAACTTCAATTGAGCTGAGATCAAAGACTACTGGAAGCTCAAGAACACAAACACAGGACAAACTAACACCAAACAGGCTCTACACGAAAATTCCTCGAACTATTCGCCTATTTGATTAAAACGCTATAAAAGTCAAACACGAATCTTCAAATCTAGCAAGCACCTAGCAGAGAAATTCACAGTCATAAAACTGAATCAACCCTTGAAAAACTACGCACCCAACTCGATCTTAAAAGTTATCGA